GCATCCTCTCTGACCCTCACCCTCCTGCCTTCCTCTTACAAGGACCAGGCCTACTCGAATAATCCAGGATAATCTTCCCAACTCAAGATCCCCAACTTAATCACATCTGCAAAGTCCATGTAAACTAATATAGTCACGAGTTCCAGGAATCAGGATGTGGATGTCTGGGATGGGGGGTGGGGGGCATTTCATTGTGCCTACCACAGATAGTTTTATTTATTTAAGAAGGGACTGGTAAAGAGTTTGATTGTTTTTTGTAATTGAATTTGGTGTAAAAATATAGAAAATCATCCAAAGGAGGAACAAAAATATTGATTTCTCCAAGGAATTAACAGGTATTGCTGGCTTGGGATAAAATTCTCAGTGACTATATCAAACATGGATTCAAAACAGGTGTATCTCCCATGAATAGTGCTCAAAAGTAACAGCTAAAATGCAGGGGTGGCCCAAATCCATTTCGGGTACAAATAAGTCACACCTGCATTGTAATAGTCTATTTTATTTTAAGTAAATTATTTCAGACTGACATCAGCAAAAACTTTAGTTTATAGCACATTGAAAATCAAGTGTATATAACCACGATTTAGTAGTAATAAGTCCAGTGGTATTCTTCACTAAGTTCATTGAAACTATAGGTGCTAGTTGACATGATGTATGAATGAAGATGGACCAGGATTGCTTTGTATAATAATGATCACTACTATATTCAAAGCTGTTTTTAGGAAGCCTTAACGAGTATTTCCCTTCTCTTTCCTTCTCAAATGGCTGTTTCCTGATCCATCCCTTTTGCTCCAGGATTTGCGCAAGCAGGTAGCGCCACTGCTGAAGAGCTTCCAAGGCGAGGTAAGTGTTTCTGCTTATTTTGTATCTTGAACCACCCTTCATAGCTCATCGTGCTTTCTTTTTATTCTTATTAAATAAATGCTGTTGACAGAAAGAAAGTGCTTACCCAGATGGAGCCTTCCCAGCTGCACCGACCCAATGTTGTGCAGATATGGTGTTTCCCAATGTGATGTTTCCACTGGGTGGACTGAGCTTGTTCAGACTGCAGCCCATGAACTTCCCGAAGCTCACTGGTTCCCTGAGCTGGTCTAGGGCTGCTGCTGCATGAGGCCTCCAGTATGGAAGGAATGGAGTGGGGGGCAACCCGGTGCTTTCACGTGCAGCTGTCGGTGGCAGGGGGCGGGGCGGGGGAGAGGACTTTCACTTGATCAAGGCTTGAAAAAAGAGCAACAGGCAGAAGCCTCGAGGAGTACATTTGGGCTCAATATAAAGAAAAGTTTTCTAGTAGATGCTTCCAGAGAAAGGCTGGGCAACATGGCGGGCTGGCTGCCAATCACCCGAAACGTGCACTCTGGCTGCCTGTTAATGGAATAACATCCACAAAGTGGACAGGCAGTTGTGGTGAGTGACACTCCGGTTCCTCCTCAGCCCTTTGTGTAGACATTTGGTGGATTTTAGAGAGCCAGACATTTTGTTATTGATGTGGGCTATGCACTCTCGGCTCTTAGCGTCTCCTGTTAGAATGATGGAAGTAGTAATATCACTAAGGAGAGGGAGCAAGTCTTCTTTAAAGCCCTCTAAAGAACCCATATTGGCAGGATCATAGGAATTTTATGTTGTTACCACTACTCAATTCACAGAACGGGGAACGGTGCAGGATGGGGGAAGTGAGATGGCAAATTCAAAAGTGACATGAGGCAGTGGGCTGAGTGGTGTGCCTCCTGGGACATAATGCTAAGGAGGCTGGAATCCTGGGCCCAGAGCTCCAGGGTCGTAAGAGGTCAGAGCTACCATTTGGCAAATTCTTCAGCATGCAGGTGACAGCAGAGGGTGAAGGAACAAATAAGGTCAGGAAGACTGCAGTGGGAGGCGAGAGAGGAGATTCCAGGACAGTGAGGAAACAGTGCAGGGAGGTGAAGCAGCAGTAACTGCTGGCGATGGCTGAAGACTTTAGAGCAGCGTAGCAGTGCTCTTCTCTCTGATTGTAATTTCCTGCCTCAGGAAGCCCCCCCGGACCCAGCTCCATGAGGCACAGAGGATATCAGTATCCCAGGTCTGGGAAGGATGTGACCTGTCCTTTCCTCAGAAGTACATCTCCGAACCCTCATCTATGAGTAAAACTGTCACCTTACACCTACCCACATTTGATCTGATCTCTTACTTTTACCTGTTCAGCAGCTTTTGTGAGGCCTACTGGCTTAGTGTTCCCTACTGGCTTAGTGTTTCTCTAGCTGAAATAGCTCAGTATGCTTTTTTTGTTGTTTGCTTGTTTTTCTTTCTTTCTTTCTTTCTTTTTTAAATTTCAAGTTTACATAAAAGTAGAAAGAAACACCTGTGCACCCTTTACCCAGACCCACTACTTGTTAAATTTTGCCACATTTGCTACTCACCCTCTTGTTAAACATTAAAAAGTAAGTTGCAAATAGCATAGCACTATACCCTTAAATATACGTGTGTTTCTCCTAAAATTAAAGACATTGTCCGACATTTCCACACTAACTCCAAGTGTCACAACTGGGAAAATTGACACTAGTTCTGATATCTAATATTAGGACCAAAATCAAATTTCCACAGTTATCCCCAAATTGTTTTTTATACCTGCCTTGCCCCCAACTTGGGTCCAGTCAGGTTCATACATTGCATTTGGGGGATAGATTTCTCTTTTAATATAGAATGCTCTCTCCACCCCCCCGACCTTTGTTATTGTTTTTTCAATACATTGAGTTTTCGTGTGTGTGTGTGTGTGTGTGTATGTTTTTAAGAATCTAAGTTATAGAATATCTCATTCTGGATAGGGTAATGGGTTTGGTTCTGGATATATTAAATTTGAAATGCCTGCGAAACATTTAGGCTTCTTATTTGCCTGTTTTTTAAAAGGCTATTTGAAAAGTAAATATTTTTATATCGCTATTAATTAATACTTACCAAGCCCTGCTAATTACTATATTTATTTTAAATCATTTGTGCTCACTAGTAAGCTGACTTTAGTAGAAGGGACTAAATCCTACTTTCCTACTTGTTTCTGAAGAATAAACTTTCATAGCAGAGGGTAACTGCACATGGGGACCACACATGCAGGGCTGGTTTTCTGCTGAGTAAGGCGGAAGGCAGCATGTCTTGGTACTGAGCTGGGGCAAGATCCATTCAGCTTATTTTTCTAAAAAGCTGCCTTTTCTAATCAGAGGCTTATTCTTGTACCCTTCATTAGTGTTTGCTGAATGTGATTTTATTTATCAGATATATTCTTTGAGTTCATACCAAGGTGCTTGAGTTCCCCTTAGAAAAATGTATGGTGTAGTGAAAACATGTTCTTTGCCTCAAAATTCGTATAGATTACTTCCCTATTTGAGATTCCCCAAAGAAAAAGCAAAACAAAATAAAGTTTTCCGACAGCAAGATATTCAAGGACTTTAGCATTACTGCAAGAACACATATTTGTAGTGTGTTACAATGTCATGGGAAATAGTAACTTGGCCAGGATACTGCTTATGCCCCTGAGTGTTTCTTGTGGTTCTCAGGGTAAATCCAGACACCTTCCTTCCTGTGGTTTCTGAGACCCACATGATTTGGTAACTGCTTACCTTTCTAGACTTCTCTCACCACACTCACTTACCACCTATCACTGGACACACAGCCATTCTGAATTCTGTGAAGCCCTTGTGCATAAAGTGTCCTCACTGGCCTCCAAACCTTCATGTGGACTGACCTCTTCCTGAAACACTCCTTCTACTTCACCTGTCTTACTTCTGCTTGGTGTTTCTTCCTCAAGAAAGGTCTTCCGTGAGCCCCAGTAACAGGCTAGGTCCCCTGTACTGTGGGCTCTCATTGCACTCCACACTACTTGTGACACTTGTCATTGTGCCTAAGAGCTGCCTTGGACTTTGTCTCTGTTCCCAGTGAGTCTGTAAATGTGTGAAGGCAACCTCTGTGTCCTTTCTTGTTGGCTATTTGTATTCTCAGTACCTGACACAGCAATTGGAACTAGAAAGTAGTTGGGCTTTCAGAAGTAGTTATTGAATAAATGGTTGGACAGTGAGGTTCCTCTGGAGGCAGTTTTTAAAGCATTTTGTTTCTGTCCTTTCTTAAAGTTATGCTGCTGTTAATAAGGCAAAAGAGACCCCAGAAAATATGCTCAGGAAATACCTTTAGAAAAAACTAGTAAATAACTATTCGTTGTCCTTGATTGAAAAGTTTGGAATACTGTAATCATAACAATTATTCATTATTATTATAGCAAAGTCATCAAATTTAACTCACACTGAAATTATATTTATTTATTGCTCTATCTAAGTTTGTGTGTTTCAGAAGCCCAGCCAGCTAGTAGGGGAAATAACCTAAATGGTCAACCCAATTTAAGGTATATTTTAGTCCAATAATTTAGACAGTCCCTTCAGTGACATGATACACTCTCGCTAGGAAAATGCTAAGTCTTACAAATTGTCTCCCTCTCAGATCTCTCATGGATCTGAGAAGAGTCCTGGTATATAGAAGGTCGAGCAGGAAAGAAGTTGGCTGCTTTCTAGGGGAACTGGTTGCTTAAACCAGGTATCCTCAGGGAGGAAAATCCTCTTCAGAAATAACGTAGGTTCTTATATTAGAGGGGAAATAAGACTGAAAATTCATGAACATAGCATCAAGCTTAAAAAGTTATAAAAGTACAACAAAATAGCTCAAAGAAAATAAGAAGGAAATAACATGAATATATATATGTATATATATATATGAATGAAAAAGAAAAAGACCCAAGAGACAAGCAACCTCAAAGTTGGTTCTTTAAAAAGACTACTACAGTAGACAAACTATCTTCCTAATGAAGAAAAACAAACAAACAGACAAAAAACAGGAATGAAAACGGGGATACATTTGCAACTGTGGCAGAGATTAAAAAGGTAACAGGAGAATATTATAATCAATTTTATGCCAATAAATTTTAAAACCTAGACAACAGGAACAAATTTCTGGAATACTATAATATAACAAAGCTGATTAGAAAAGAAATAGAAAACCTGAATAGCCCTATAACTATTATAGAAATATTTCCACAAGGTCTAGACATTTTCATGAGAGAGTTTTGTTAATCATTCACAAAATAGATCTAATCTTTTGCAAACTCCTTCAGAAAATAAAAAAAGAGAGAGTAACTCATTTTATGAGGCTAGTGTAACCTTGCTGCCAAAACCAGGCAAGAACAGTATTAGAAAGGAATATTGAAGTCAGTCTAATTTCTGAATAGATATGCAGAAGTCCTTTTAAAAGTTTTAGTAAATTGAATCCATCAAGCCCTCTGTATCTCAAGAATGGTGTTTGGTTTAATGTTTTTAAACTCTATTAATGCAAATTAATATCATTAGCAGATTAAAGAGGAAACTTATCTTAATAGTTATAGGAAAAGATTTGATAAAATTGAGTATCCACTCATGATAAAAAAAGAAGAAAATACCAGCAAACTAGGAATAGAGGGGGGACTTATTTAACCTGGGTAAAGGTATTTATCAAAAACCATCAATCAGCCATACTCAGTGATGTTGAAAACGTGCCCTTTAAAATCAGGAACAAGACAAGAATGCCTACTAATGCTACTTTTATTTAACATTGTACAAGAAGTCTTAGCTAGCATGGAAGACAAGAAAAAGAAACAAAGCATATTGTAATAGAAGAAATAAAACTGCCATTTTCCAAGTGAGCCTCAATTTATTCATCAAGGTTGTTAGACACAAAGTCAATATACAGAAGTAATTACATACCTCTGCATCAACAGCAAACTGAGAATGGATGCCACTGTAGATAACAAAAAGTAAAGGATACCTAGATATAAATATGACAGTGCGTTACAAACTCTT